ATGATAAAGTCTCGATCAGTATCATAAGAAGTATACCTTAACTTTGTTTCAATCTCCAAACCAAAACAAGTACGATATTAATAGGATGTTTAACTATATTGATTAATACTACTACAAGAATTAATCCTTCACAGGCAAATTGGGTTTATATGCGAGTCTTTTTGTTTATTGGCTAATCCTTCAAAAAATCGAAGAACATCTCGACGTACTTCTCAAAGCTTTGTCATTAAAATGAAAATTCAGAGGAAAAAAGTTCAAGATAGTAACAAATTCAATTTTCGTGTCTACGGACAATTATACAAGTGCCTTATATATGCTCCTAACAATCATACGCGATATTATATTTATTATATGTTATATCCTTGACGTTACTTCACTGGTAATACCAATTACACGATACTAACCGTAATAACGTAGTAAAAAACAGCACATTAAAATAAAGGAAAGGATAAAATCATAGGAAACGGCGAGACGGTGTTGCCTCGGCGGAAGCGAAGCCTGGTGGCGGAAGTAGATAAGAACACCGTGCGGACCGCGTGGAAGTCGTGAGGTTTCCGGTAACTCGAGTTCAACCCCGAAAGTACTCGGATATTATACGCCAGGGAGGAGTTTCGTTCGTTATATTTATACTAACGTCGGAACCGAGTGCCCTCCATCCTTTCCCGCCATTTTTCCTCCCAACATTTCCCAGCGGTAAATTATCCAAGAGGCGCGTACAAGAACGATTCGCCTTCTTCGAGGCGACTCGCACATTCGCAATAATTGCGTCCATTCGCGTGATTCAATTTTTCTTTTCGCCCTTCGTGACGAGAGGGCGGAAAGAATCGCGCGTTTTCGCCACTGTTATTTCCCAGGTTCCTATCTACGTACAAATGTTTTTCCTTAGTTTTCATTGAAAAAAATGGGAGCACCGGTGAAGCCCGTGAAAGCTTCCGGATAACGGCCGTTTCAATTCGGGTTGAGCAATGAATTTTGGATAGGATGGGAGGGAAGGCGCTCGTTGGAAGGTGGAAGCAAGGTTAAGGGGTGTTCTTTTTTTTATGAGTTAGGGGAGTGGTTAGGATACGCCTCGTAGAAGCTTTCGGAAACCACCATGCTCCCACCGACGAGTTACCATAAATTGACACTCACCGATGAATTCTTTAGCATGATATTCCTATCAACCAGTTGTTTTAGGAGAATTGCGTTTTTGTTATCCGCAGGGCAAATGAACTGTTGTATTATTTATCGTGGAATGGCTCGACCATGAAAACTGTAGTAGATAGCAATTTATCGTGATTTAAATTACGGGGCAGGATTGTTCTTTAATGTCCATTTAATCCATCACCATTGTAGTTAATATTGCTTGAAGTAATTTATGAATAATTTGATCAACTGGCTATGGTATTTTTGTAGCGGACTAGGATAGCTACGTTTTTATCGTAATATCAATCGACGAAAAAGAGTATCGGCTTATGGTAACTCGAATCATGAAAAGGTACATTACCTGAAAGTATCATTTAATCGATTAATGTTGCAATTAATATTACTTGAAGTAATTAATAATTCATTTGATCAAATAATTGTATTATTTCAGAAGTAGATTAATTGTAACACCTTTGAGTAATTCAAGCAAAACTTTCCGTTAAAGCATCACTTAATCGGTTGTAATTATTTTGAGGTGCTCAACGATTAATTTGGTCAACGATCGATAGCACTTGGTTCCACAATTTACACCGCGAACAAGCTGAGAAATACAGTAATGTAAACCACGAGGAATATATTACACAGATAAAGCTATCGAAAGTTAATCTTTGATAAAAGCGCCTTCATCGGACACGTACTATGACACGAATTATACAGCAACTAAAAATCGAATAGAAAACCGCCAAAGAACTGGCCTGTCGATCCTAACTCGCCACGACACCATCGCAAAAATGTTCTACCCCCGAAAAACGAAAATATTTCGACACGCAAACGCACGCCGCTCTGCATGCAAATTATGGTACCATTATTCTTTTCTTTCTTTTCTGTTCCCTGTTTCTTTCGTTTTTGTGAAACGTTGCGACGCTTCGCTGGCACGGAACGAAGCCGAGCTCTCGAGAGGAGCCATCAGAAGGTAAAGACGAGAGGACCATTGTTTTTTTTATTTCCCTTTCTCCTGGCACCGATACGTCGTCTTGAGAGCATCGGCAGAGTTGCTCCAATTTTGTCTGATCACGATATTTGTCTCGCATGCAGAACACGATGCACTGTTTTAACGTTCTACACCATAAAACCCTGTGAAAAACCATTCTCCTTCACTCTCTCATGTTTTCTGTCCTGTTCCTTTCTTCTGCGTCTTCTTTCATCTTTGTCTCTTCTTCTTCTTCTTCGTTTCTCCTGTGCGGTCTGCATCCATCTTCTATCTAGCTTCTGCTGCCTCTGGAAAGTTAGATTACTTGATCTGTTACTTAGTTAAGATCTAATAATCATCTAAGATTATTTCTTGTCTGTCTTTCAAAGTCCCCTGCCTGACGAATCTTTTGGAAACGTGGAACTGTGATTAGATAGCATGGACGATTGGATAGAGGATCTTCTTGTTGTAGATGACCAGATCGATGTAACGATAGAAGTCAATTGAATCGCTTCTTTTTTTGAATTTTAACCCTTTCGTGATCGATGAGTAGAATGAGTAGAATATAGATAATAAAAATATTTCTTTTCCATGAAAACAATCTTATTTTTAGTTCGCGAAATACTGTGAAAGAAATGTATTCTGTTTAGTAATAATTTATCGAAAGTAATTTTTTCGAAGAAGAGATATAATTGGCTCTGGAAGGGTTAAATTATGAGAAATTTTCATTGCCTTGAAGATGTGATAGTTAACGTTACGTGTCCTTATATGTATTATTAATTATAACATGATAAGGTGCTAAAGACACTAGCTTTCACCAGATGATTTTACAAATATCGTTACGTCGATCTCGATGGAAAGTCGACATCGCTTCGACCATTCTGGGAACCGAACGAAGTCGAAGTTTTTTCGACGTCGAAGGTTTCCCCCCTAGAAGTCTTTTTTCTCTATACTTTCTCGATTCTTTCTCAAACTTCAACTCTGTAATTCATTCTAGCGATCGAGATATACTCGTGTGAAATTTCGTTGCATAACCCATTCGAAACCATGGTGACGCACCACTTACATCACACGAAAGAAACTCGTGTTATCGTTGTCAGTCGGCAGTCGGAGAAATAAATCATCTAAAAGAAATATTGCAAAGAATATTATGCAAAATTAATTGTTCAAATGATCAAAATAGGTAATTTTAATTTTTCACAGAAACTTTCTAAATTTACAACGGTACATTTTTAGGCTCTTGGGTAACTTTTTCTAAAATTTATATAGAAGCTTATTTCGTATTCTTTTATTGCTTTGATACGAGTTTCCCATTTTAATTATTATCGGTTGTTTTAGTATTTAGAAATATTTCTGACAAAGAAGCGACTAATAAATAAGGATTAATAAATAAAATAATTAAGAAACATTAATATCAAGAAATGAAAGAATCTTCTGAATAAATCACATTTTCCAATACAAAAAAAAAGAAAATAAGTAATGCAACATCACGACCCTTGAAACCTCGTAATAATACCTAATAATATGTTTTTTCAATTAGAAATCGGTCTCGAATGGGTTAAAATACAAATTTTCCGTACCCTTAAAAAGAATTTGTACGACGTTTCCTCTTTTCTACAGAAAAATTCTTATTGCATCGTTGTAACATTTAATTTTCTGACGACGTTCCATAATCAACGAGCGTCCTTTGTCAAACAAGAAAGAAAGGAGGAAGCACGTAAATGGAGGATAGGTGGTTCCCATTCGCTCACCCCCATTGTTGCCTCAACTTCGTTCCAATCTCACCGCGACATTTACTGCTCTTTAGAGCGCGTTTCCACGGGAACGGCTTCTGATAGAATAATTCTTGTTCCTCGAAGGAAGCGCCCAAACAAGATCGTATTCAACGACGTTAGCCGTTCGATCAATTCTTCAACGTATTTTCTTCCGGCTTCTTTATATCGCCTCGCTATTTTTACAAGGCAAAGATACGAAAATGTGCACTTGTTGATGGCAGCTACGCTTCAGCACAATTTCAGATTTCTCGAAATTTCAAAGTAGAATGTCATTCTATGCACTTCATTGACGATTGTTTCACAGCTTTCCCGTTATCTAGGTTGATTAGGAAATTCTATTGCCTTTGTTCTATGAATGGAAAGAGATCAATTATTTTAACTGGAATTTGCGTTAATTAATCTTTAATATAAAATTCGTATTAATGTTAGTTATATATTATTGATTGATTTTTAATAGAATAATCATTGTTATTTATGAGATCTTCTGTCGTCTTGTGATTGCACGTTGAATCTTTAATTTTTATTTTATTAAAATTCTACGACTTCCGTTGCAAACATTTTCTACGTGAAATTGCCAGCAGCAGTCAATTTCCATAGTTCATGTTTCGACAATTAAAATATGTAAATGTGTATTATGTAGCTGCAATTTATGAAAATTCCCAAATAAAGTTAAAACCTAGCGATAGAATTTTCCAATCAGCCTAACAAGTAATCGAACGATCTATTGGATCAACAAGAATTCTCTATCCTCCTCTAAAGACACGTGTCTATCTTGATCGCTAAAAACAATCTTCACCAAAATTGTCTCCGAACCTCTACCAAGAAAAAAAAAGAAACTCAACCTTCTTCAATCTCAGACGAATCCCAATTACTCCTCCAAAAATCCTCAAAATCGATCCTGCGATCGCCTCGTGCAAAGTGTGTGCTCTCGCTATGGTCCGTCCTTGAGACAAAAATTAACCACAAACATCCACCAGCCTAATCTTACTTCTGCCAATTATTCTAATCTCTTTTCTTTCACTCTGTTATTATCTCTCTCTCTCTACTTTTGTCTATCTCTGAAATCACTATTTCCGCTCATTATCCAACGAAGCCAATGCCGATTTACTGAAACGCTCTGCGTGCTCCAGGTCGGAGCATCATCACGAAGAAGGGCGATGGCTCTCAGGTGAAGGAATCGACCGACAGCAGCACAACGATCGAGGACGATGACGTGAAAGGTAGGACCACCCAGAAATCCTCTGTCACTTCTAGAAAAAAAAAAAAAGAAAATCTTCTCTTCTAGCCTCCCCCTCTTTTTCGTGTGTTTTGTCCCCGGTTCACAACACCCCCTCCCCGAAATTATAGGGAGACGATCCTCGTTCTAGAAGATCGTTCAGATACATGCACCCAATTTGATATCTGATTTTATGCCACCCACGAGTGTCACGAATCTTTCTAGGAACCTGGCCGCACCGAAAAGGTGCCTCCCGCGGTGTCAACTTCTCTCTTTCTGTGTTCGTGTCTTTGGTACGTTTCGTACCCTCGTGTACGCTTGGAATTCTGCGTGGCTGATCGAAGAGATCAGAATAAAATTTTCACTGTAATGTCTGTTATCTTTATTAACGAGTTGAGAGTTCGGGATGGCTTTATGAAGGCTGTCATCGATCTTTGGTGCTGACCAAGAGGTATTATAGTTGTTATCTTGAGAGTGATAGTGAAATTTTGGGGCACAACATTTTATATTATGTTTACTAGTAAATATTGTTTTGGTAATTAAGGAATATTGGGATCGATATATTGATAATATATATTGATTGCGGTGAATCTTCAAAGGATGGATTTAACATATCGTAAATTCATTCTTCCGTGTTTATGGAAAGAGAAATACTCTGTAAATTGATACTTTGAGATCGATGGGATATTTTTAGAATCATTCCTTCGTGTTTCACATTTTCAATTCTACAAAATACTATGATTAATTTTCTAGGCATTACAGCGAGAATTTTCCTAGAAATATTTAACGCCACCCTTGCAATTAGAGTAAAAACCATAGAACAAAATATGATTAATATCAACTGTTCGAGGCAATCAGTATTGGAAAAGAGAAACACTAAAATTCGAAATAAATAGATTTAACATCCTCAAAAAATTTTCTTGAAATTTCACTAAAATTCGCAACTATAATTACTTTTTTTCAAAATTCTCTCGTGCACGAATTCATGGCAGTTGCAGCGTCCAAAAGAATCGATGCAGCCAGTAGCACGGTTCGATAGATTCGAGATCCGTTTGAACTCGAACTTGCTATCGGAAATTGGTGATGTCGCGAGAGGCCAGGATCGAGTAACGCTATTCGTCGACTCTAATGTAACCTGGAGTTTTCGAGCCTGGCCCCAAAGTTACCTTCGATGATCGAACGACGATCGGTTTCGATCAGCTCGGCACGATTCAGCGCGCGTATTCCGCGCGTACACGCGGCGCGGGCTGCTCACAGCCTTTTGGACTCGTTAATTGTTCGAGCCCTGAACCGGGACAGTTAATTCTCCCAGCGAGATTCCGCTAATGGATCGAATCTGAATTTACCGCTCTACTCGCGCCTGAAGCGCGGCTATAACTGGATTTCTCACTGCCACCGCCAGATCCAAAACGGAGTGGCCTTCCCCAGTGGAGTCGGTCGAAGATAATTGCACCTGAATTTACATTTTGCTTTTCGATCGTCGAAACGCCTATCGTGGCGGTCGAGAATCCAGTTTTTAGACTATTTCCGATGTTTGTTTTTTTGCGTGTCATGGGACAATAGTGGAAAGGATAGCGAGTGGATATACAGGGTTACCGTTAGATTGTGGATGTTTATGAATTTATGGATATTATAATTCTCTATTTTTTTTCTTTTTTTTTTAGAGAGAATTCTTCGATAGAATCGATCAACAAGACCAACAGTTTTGGTGTAACGAAGTTTTTTGCAAACGATAGTCGTGTTTCAGAAAGAAAATTATTTATACATATTAGCCTTCTTGCTGTTCTTATTTTTATCAGCGTCATCAAAGTGGAACCAGTAGAGCGTAAAGATAATATAGGTAGTATGCAAGAAAGATACGAAAATAGTATATATGTACAAAATGTCGAAAATAACGCATTTCTATTAATTCTCGTTCATTCTTGCACATTTATACTTGTTTGTAACTCATAACTGCACAAACATCCACAGTCTATACGTTACAAATAAAATAGATAGTTCAAACGTTTTGCTTAAAAAAAAATTGTTGAAGATATATACCTAGGTTGTATTAGTACGTAAGCTAATTCAAGATATATTTCAATTTCTTCGACAATTTTCTTTCTACCTGCAAAGTGTTGGAACCATCCATTCCTTTCTTAACGACCCTGTATTCTGCGAATTGATTAAATCCTTAATATCCACCCTTAGATAATTTGGAAACCGACGATAATTTTTCGGTCGGTTACGTCTCCCCGGTTATTTATATGACAGTTCTCTTTTTTATTTAATTGAAGTGGAGTAAATATAGTTCGTGTATCGGTATAATGGTTTTTTTCTGGAAATTCGATAAAAAAAATCTCTTCGTGGTCCCTTTGCAACATAACGAAATCACGAGCAGGCACTTGCGCGCGCATATCGGCCTATTATTAGAGAGATAGTACTCCTGCTCACGTGCAAATCGATCGTTGGACAATAGCTCGAGTAGTTAAGTATCCCCCTCGTTGCTTTACTCCGTCCCTCCCCCCTTTTCAACCTTTTGCCCTCTCCAGCTACGATCCACCTTATATTTGCGTACACTTGTGGCCCGATTACCGATAGACATACATGTGTATATACATGTACATATTGGTAAACCTGTCGCGGAGGTTCGTCGATTGCGCGACAGCCTTTACTTTGTAGACTACCATTTATAATGGTTCATTTTCCTACCCATCAAAACTTTCTTTTTCCTTTGCAATAAATTCTTCGTATACTGTTATATACTATTTTTCAACCGGATACAATGGATTTGGAATATATTTGAGCGAAATTTATTTCGTTTAATCAATTCTTAAAGGTATTTCGAGAAATTTGTTCAAGGATACAGATCTTCCTGAGTCTCTTTGCGTAATTGAACCAACATTGTTAACGAAATTTTACAAGCTACAAATTTGATAATGAAATTATACGGATAATTTCACTTTGCTATTCGACGCGAAAATTGTTAAATAGTAAAAAGCTTTTTAGGCAATAGAATTGCTATAATTATTTATCGTTAGTATATTCAGTAACGTTGTTAGTTAATTAATCTCATTGTGCAAAAGGATCCGGATTAAATTCATGTTTATATAAAGCTCGTGTTATAAGCGGCAATCGAACGAACCTCCATAGCGCAGCCATGAGGAGCGTGTTTACTGTCGAAAGGTAGAGAGCTTTACTCGTCGTTGCCCACCGAATTTGCAGTGAAGCTGTACTATATCTTTCTCACGAAACTATCTCTCTCTTCGCTTCTTTGTAGACGCATAACACACTTGTGTATCGCTACTTTTGATCCGCTTTACCGCGGATTTCCTCTTTTCTTGTATTATAGTCTGTTCGTCTATCGTATCTTTCTACTACCGAAGATCGTTCCCTGCAAATTTTTAGGGGATTTGGTATAGTCGTTTTCGCTGTACGTTGCGATAAAGATCATTTTTACTCACTTGGGAATTTCAATTCTTTCTTGATTTCACTCTATTCATTCATTTCGCCACAATTCTGTTATTAATGGCTCTACTATCTCTTGATTTCACTATTTTGTAATGACAATTATTTATTTAGTTTACAATTAGTCAATACTCTATTGTTTATCAGTTCTACTAACATTCACCAATCTCATTACTATTCTATGGTGACAACCATTCATTTCCATTATTCTACAACTGGAGAATTCAAGTCCACGATTTTACATTAACTTTTAAGATATCCAACTGTACACCTAAATTTACTAAATATAATACAATATTTATCAGCGACATCGCTATATACACTAATATTCTCTTTTTATAATAGCCAAAGAAACTCTGGAAAATGAAGTATTAAAATTTTTCTAACATTCCAAGATTCGAACCGGTTATCATTCTAGTAAAAATCAAACGCTCTATCTATTCTACCATAAGACTTTCAAAGTCTCTTGTACTTCTTTCAACTATTTCTGTCGCTGAAGTTCATTACCATGTAAATTACACTTACTAACACGCCCAGAGATCAAACACACCCTCTTTATCGCAACGCGATCGCGTCCGACTATATCCATTTGCCTCGTTCAACCCACGTGAACGTATACGTATAACCTGATACTTAGTAAATCTTTGACTGTATGTGTAATAACTACTTCTCGTCGCCTGTCAACGGCTCTGTCTACTTACCACTACTCAGCAGAGACGTATACTACTCGCCTACTGAGGTAACACTCGAAACCGTGTACAGTTTGTATTTCTGCCGACCTAAATTCTAGCCATCGAGTTTTCGTTATCGTACACCATCGAAACCCGCCCTAATGAGCTGTCGCTGAACCGTTCCTGATTAACTCTCTATTCTAACCATCTATTCTTTCACGACTTCTCGTTGATCATGATCGATTACACACTCGGACACGATCATACTGATCATAGTAGTCTCATTTATGCATAAGAAACAGAAGCAAAAGTAATAGAAGTTATTGAGAAATTTTTCGATTTGACGATAGATATTCCTGAATGCTTCCAAAAGATTTTTTGGGAGAATCGAGACATTTCCATTATCGTAAAAGAGTAATTGTAGAATAATCTTTTTAGTTATTTGATATTCGATGGGTATTTTCATATTCGGTGTTATCTTTTTGCTTGAACTGTTAATTTAATTATTATGAAAATTATTATTAATTTAATTAGCATCCTTCGATTCCATAATATTAAAAAATTGTTCCTTTGCTTGGATACTTGTAATAGTAGATTAATAATATTTCATAATGTAAAAGTTTATTTTAATATCACTTTGCAATTTAGAGATATTTAGAAAAAATTTAATCAACGCTCCTTGATTCGATTTCAATTTAGTTGAAATGCATAATTTGAAAAAATTCTGTTAAAAAGTAATTTGATTATATCTTTTATAATTTTAGGGGAATTGAAATTTTTTGAAAGTATGTGGAATAATATCAATCGTCTTTATAAGGTTAAATGTTTTATTCCACGTGTTTCTGAAAGTTGTTCCCTTCGGTCAGCTTTAAACTGCTCTTTTCTT